CTTATGTGTCTGTTAGGCTTGCATTTGGTTTTAGAAAGAAAAATCAAAGTAACGGTTGTTTAAACCATATAGAGGCAGCCACTTGCTCTCTGCTGGAGGTACTATAGTTTTATAGAGCAAGCGTTCCAAATATGCAGCTCATTAAATTTAATACTTGCAACAAAATCTAGCTCTAGTTCAAATTGTGCATTTATGATCATCTTTTGACAGTCATCAATAAAAGGTCACGTTTTCCCAGTTCACCTAACAATTGGGTTCCTATTCTTTCGTATTAAGTAGTCTAATTCTTAATTTCAGGTGTGTATTTTGAAACCAAACAGATCCTCTTTCAACATGAGAAGTACAGCAGAACCAACCTCCCACACAGGAAAGAAAAAAACATGAATTGTTCAGGGTCCTGTTTATTTTCTCATTATCAACGAAGCTATCTGCTTTTGAAATGAACCTTCGACTTGCATTTGAGTCAATTGTAGCTTTTAGGAAATGGTCTCTTTCAATTTCACCATTTTTCATGGCTTGCTCTAAGATCCAAACTTCGAGTCCAACATATATTTTCATAGGGGGGCATGCTTGGTTTGCCATCAGTTGCTAACCGAAAAGCAGATGAGTCGAACGCTTTTGGAAGAAGCCTTTCAGTTGAGCCTTTCCAGAAGAAAGCCCTAGAACACTGCTTCCACCAAGATGACAGCCAAGAAAACCCTCTGGAGTAGTCCTCCTCTGTAACACATGGGGGCACCGTGAGTCAGAACCAATCCACGGCCATGGCTTAGTTTGTTGTTTATATACCTTCACGGGCTTTGTAAGTGTAGCTCAGTGTCTTCTTTCTCGCCGGTGTTTTGTTATAATGTACTAGTATATATGCTTTTAAAACAGGTGGTGTAACAGGAATCCACATACGGTGCTTTTGCATTACCCTCTCCTACCTCGTATGGTAAGTAAGCACATGTTGTTATAGGCGTTTAGAGAGCAGAGAGCCATCTTCGTGTTCTTTCCCACTCCCAAAGCTCTGCTGTCACCAGACCAGTTGACAGTCCAATTCGTCAATGTCATTCTCTGGGGAAGGAGCCCAACAACCTCTGGCCCTAAGCTCCACAGGTGAGAAGTCAAGTTTGCACAATAAGATGCCCCACCCTCTGACTGTGCTCCATGGATGAATATGCTCACCTGATTCACATTACTAGGGAGAAACTGGGGCTCCGAA